GGCTTCGAGATAACACACTTGAACAAATTTGTGTGTGACCAAGAGTCATTGACCGAAGTGCTTGCCAGTGTAATTATTAACAATGCAATGTTTGCCCAAAATCCACTCAGATCTATTGGGGTTTGTGGTTTTGAGGTTCCCGGGGAATATTTGACATGGGTATGCTTCTGAGGTATGCTTTAGAGGTAAATATGCTTCGGGAGCATTGTTTCCGGGTATGCTTCGTGGGGCGTCAAAAATGGCAGCCACAAGGAGGAGGGACACGATGTCCCAACCAAAACCAATTAAATTTGTCCACTTCCGTTCATCTTCCAGGTGCCGACCCCCCCCCAAAAAAAAACCGACGATCACCCACCCACGCAGCCGTTCAACGATCAGGGGTCCCCAGCTCTCCGGTCACGCCGAGCGTCGGGTCACGCCGATCCAAAAGGCCACCGTGAACCTGACCGGCTCGACGGACCGGTTAAGGCCGATGCTCGGAGTGACCCGATGAATCGAACTCAGATGTTTCTGCACCTCGGCATCGGAACAACGGGATACAACAAAAAAGGTCACTGACTGAAGAATCAGGTGCAGTATATGGAATGTTTATAGCCATGTCTGATTTTATACATTGACCCCTGAACCACTCCAATATACTCCAATGTAAAATGTGGCCTGTGAAGATCCATTGGTTGAATGCATCATTTTGGGAAGGAAGGACGTGTTGATCAAACGAAGCGGACAAACCTGTACAATGTGAGATTTAGAGTTTTGACCAGCAAACGCGGGGGGCTTTGCAAACTTTCATGTATCTCTCTCTCTCTCTCTGTCTCTGTGTTTCTGTCTGCTGTCCATCTCTTATGTATGTTGGGCGCTGGATTCGCGTTGGTGGGAAGTGAGGCAGGAGAAGATCCCTCAATAACGAAAACTGTTCATGATCCGGCACATATAAGGTCCAAAGACTGCCCCACTGAAGTAATGGAAGCTTTTAGGGGATCACCTGAAGATCATAGTCTTGAGACTCCCAGTACTTACACACACTATTACACACGTATATTGGGTCTATCGTATTACCGATAACAGTGGATGATTGTGGTTAGTAGAGGCCTGTCTCTAAAGTAGTGATGTTCTTGCTTAATGACAACTACAGGAAATATAAGACTGTGACAAACCCAACACACACACACACACACTCTTAGATTGATGCTCGCAAGAGCTGTATCAGTTCGTGAAGTCCCTTTACACAAATTAGACCTTGACTTGCTTCAACGGCAAGAAGTGCTGGGTCGGTCGAAAAGAATGTTTGAACAAAGGCTCACTAGCGCTTTATACGGAAAGGGGGGTCACAGGTTCAACAAAGAAGACATTGAAATCCATGCAGGCACGTAACTCCAATGTCCCGGAGCTATATCACAAGCAAGAGATAGGTGTCTTCGTTGGCACCTGCCCTATCTCTGCTTCAGGTGCCCCCCGCTCTGTACATTGAGTGAGGTAAAGCTAGAAGGAATTAACTGCCAGTTAGTTCCTTAGTGTGGTCGAAATCCTTGGAGACAGGAGTTGACACACACACGTCTTTCTGTTACCTGCCCGGCTAGCCGACTTGGAGCTATATGACGGCCCGGCTAGAGGACCTGGCCACTGCAAGCTGGAGGACCAAACCCTGGACATCCCACCTTTCCTATTAACGATATATTTCCCAACAGAAGTAACATGCGAACGTAACATATATGAACCGTTTCCGGAATCGTCTCTGATCAGATGTCTAGACCTTGAGCGACTTCGAAGTCTGTCGCAGCGGTCGCAGCGGTCGTGTCTCTCACACAGGGCGATCCTCCTCTTCGGAATGTCTCGGATCAGTCAGCTGAGCCGAGGCAGCCGAGGAACAGGCAGCCGAAGGAAACCAAACCGCAGCAACCATTCCAGCGCCCGCGCGAGCGACACTGACCTGGGCCCAGCCGCGGCTAAAGGAATGGTTAAGGGAGGACTGACAAGAATGACTCGTGGTTCTTTTTGGATGTTGAAGGAAGAGTTATTGAATGTTATTGGCTTAGCTTAAGCCCGAGAATTGTTTTGCTGGTCTCACATCTCTTTGACTCTCAGGACAATTGGCCGTATGTTGCAACAAATAGCCACCAACCTAAAACACGGGACCCAAATGTATCTTCCACTTCCATGTTTGGGTGTACCACTGCGCGTATCTCTATCTCATCTTCCACGTCTTTCAACGGGTGCTAACTCTCGACAACAGCAAATGCCTTGTCTGGACGCTTGTGAATGAACAAGCACCAGGACTGCTTGTTGGACATAGCAAGGCTTGTTCTGTCCGGCTGTTCAATTGATAAAGTATACCATGTCCCTGCGGCCAGGGGGGCAGCAAAGGAAGAGGGCCCCGTAGCAATTCCCGCAATCTGATGACTCCAGCAAAGGCTCATCCATGACAAGCTAGCGCGTGGCACATGCCTAATAGTCTTGTGTCACTGTTCTCAGTTGAACTCTTACACCAGGCAGTCATGATATTTGCAAACTTTATAAGACCAGTGGGTACATGTGTACTGTCCCACTCACCTTCACGTGCTTTCCATACCTGTTTCAAGCTGCCCTTAGTAGAACGGGATCATCATGCAAGGTGCGTCCTGCTAGTCAAAACCAGAAAGAACAAAGTCCGCTTACGACCCTTTTTTGCGAGCTAAGTCGTGTTAACGCCAAAACCCGTGGACAAGTGGGCAAGTGAATCCGCTGAAAAAAAACAACTTTCAAGCTGTTATTGCGGGAGCAGTACAATATAGTACAATATATCGTGCAGGATGAAAGACCTAGGTGAGGCCATTTTGGAACAGCTACAACTACAGATTTGCCTCACACCAGCATCTCTCACAACTGGCATCTCTAAAAAAATATATATATATATATCCCAGGAAACAGCAGGAAACCTTGGCAAACTCCATGCAACATAGATCTAACATCATGTCATGGTGAAACTCATGTCTCGCTTCAGAACTGAAGGACGGTGTTGCGGCCAGCCGGTGAACAAGGTCCAGGACGGATCCCATAGGCTATGGAGAGATGTGACATCCATCAAAAAGGGGTCACTGTTTGGTATTCGGATTTCATGGTCTTTCCAAAGGCTCATGCCATCCACGTTGGCCCACGAGGACGTTGGAGGGAAGGTAGGCGTTCAAAGGACCCTTTTCCACGTGTCTGCATGTTAGTCAGAGTGTCCTTCAAAGCAGTTCAAAGGGGGGGTGCTTTACAGAAGTGGTCGCCACCGGTCTCAAGTGACTGCAATCAGCTTGCAGTGCCTGGCTGGCTCAAAAGAACTGAGCTTTTACATGTCTGTAGCCATGTACTCCAAAGCCGATTCTATCACACCTGGGTGTCTTGTGAACAGTTCGAGTACCCTAAAAGGTCAGGAACCATTCCTAAAAGGTCAGGAATGGCATCCCGAGAGCACCCTGAGTCACTGGTTTCCTCTAGCTGCGCCAGTGGTTTTCAGGGTCCATGTTCTTCAGGGTATTGAGGATGCACGTCCAAGATGTGCCATGTACTGTGTCATGTCCAAAAAAACCTGTATGATCTTCTTGGGATACCCTCACTATGGGGGAACTAACCCCCCTGGAAAATGAGGGTTTGCACTTTTCCACCCTTTTGAATTGGATTCGGAGAGCCCATCCCTCTGTTCCACGTACTTCCTGCGTATGGAAATAGGTTCAGGCTTGGGAACTCCCCAAGTTAGTTCTGCCCCCCCTCGCCCCACATGGCGCGTGGAACGTGGCTGTGGGATCGGCATTCCCCAAACACGAACTATGGGACTAGCATATCTACCCACAGTAGGGTGCTTTTGCATATGTGCCAGTCCCCTGGAACTCCCATGCCCAGCTATGTTCTCCCAAGGGCTCCTCGCGACCCCCAGGTGATTCCGAAACACTTCAGGCTCCACCCTGTTCTCAGCGGAAATGGAGTCACTATAGTTGCCACAAATTGCATCGTATGGACTGCATAAACATAGGTCCTGAAACCACTTCAGGGTCGGGGGGGGTGGCAAAATCAACAGTCATCCAGTCAGTTGCCAACGATCTTCCACTTTCTCACGGTGATTCACTCCTGCACTTCTGCACTCCACGAAAAAAAAAGAATCCAAACGGAGTTCTCCGATACAAACGGCGAGTCGCAGCCTGAGGACTCGAGTCAAAGGATTTCCATGTCACACGCGAAAGTGCTACAAAAGGTGTAAAAGGTCCAAATGTGTTTGCTTACCTTTCCCTATAGGGCTCCAAGCACCTTCGTTTCGAAGGTGCTCGGAGTGGGTTTAGAGGGTCCAGAAATGGTCAAAAAAAAGAGACCTCTGCACTTGGAACCCTAGGGTTTGGAGACTTGACATCCAAAACTCTTCCAACAAGGCCTCTGCTTTGGAACAACAACGGGATTGGACTGCGCGCGTTGGACCGCGCACGCGCACCCCGTCGATACGGACGGCGCCTAATGCCTCGGTCGATACGGCCATGGTAGCGCTGGTTCTCCATGTCCTCCCGGCCCAGCGGTCTTGCGGCGAAACGGGCGCGCTCGTAGCGGGTGTGGAACATGGCGATGGGCTACATGGAAGGACGGTGAAACCACATCTGGTTTGGCTGTGTCAAGTCACTGGAAGTCCGCCATTTAGGAGAAACTCCTCCATCTGAAGCGGAAAGGATCATAACGAACCTAGCCTAATGTATCACCATGTCTCCTCCACTACAAACCCTGAGCTTCTAACGCTTAGATTCGATAGGCCTCGGCTTTTTCATGTGCACCATATAGGCTTCAACAGGGATATGTTTGAGCCCTTTTTAAATGGGAAGGCAGCTGAAGCAGGCTGCCGAGCTAAAACACAATCTCACCAAAATCACCCCACTTCCGGAAAAAAAAACTGAAAAAAGTCATCACCCCACTGACACCACTTCTGAACAATTGGGGTGATCTCAAAACATGGGTCGACGACCAAACCACCAAACCTGGTCGACGTGATTGGCTCTTCGACTCGGTCACGGCTCGGAGGCCCCGTCCTCCTCGGCTCGTCCATAGTCATGAAAGCTGAGGTAGGGCCTCGGCGTGTCCACCGCGGAGGTCCACCGCGGAGGTCCAGGTCCACTGGTTTCATGAATGGCTGGCAGGTCGCCTGCGCGTGATCTGCTGTGGTGGTTGGTTGTGGTGGTTGTTGCTTGATATGTTCGACTTACCTCGCCCAACTTTGGTGAATGCCCACCTTGTTTTTATCTTATTCAATCTTATTCATAGACGCAGATTGTGGTGAACTCGTCAACTGCGGGTCCTCCTGTGGAGACACCTGGATTCTTGTTGGACACCGACCCCTTCACTCTGGAACTCCAGTGACGGCCACCTCCCCGCCACCTGATCCGAGTGCCCCGTACGGAGGCACCAGCACCCGGGGCTGTGTGGACCTCGAATGGCTTGGACATGGAAAGCGTTTCCTAACCCTAGGGCCCTAGGGCTCCAACTTGCACAGGTGGAAAAACTCTACCTTAGGTGGTAGAGTGCTTTCTCAAGCCACTGACGCCAGGAGGAAAGGAAGGGTGTTTTCAGGCGCCATCCACCCAGCATGTTGGGAGGGTAGGTTTCTACCCCGGTCAGCATGTGTCTCCTCCTGGGTGGGTCCCAACCGCCACCTCCACAGAGCGAAGTTAAGGAGTTCTTTGATCAGCCCAATGGGTGACACGGTGACAGTTTTTATCTCCACATCAGTTGATTTGGTGACATGGTCTAAAACAAATCTAAGAGGTGCATCCAGGTGCAACTGGTCAATTTACTGAGAGTTAGCCTGGTGCCAAACAATGCCAACCAATTAGTTTATATACTTGGACCCTCCAAAGGGTGCCCTGTCTGGAAGCCTATAGGTAGTGTGGGGTAGTCCATTGGACACCCCTTGGAGGGTCCTGGTAATAGTGTTTATATATATATATATATATTATATATATATATATATCAAAATGACTGCTCCTGCATGCAAACTCCTCGGAGTTAATGACATGACGCATCCGCGCGCAACATACAGGTGTAGTGCATGATTTGAGATATCAAGTGTCCTTATATGTATCCTTCAGATTGATCAGGCCGTCCAGGAAGACACAATAGCCATCAATCACAACTGCTTTGAACTTGAGGGAGTTCTCCCTGGCCATCCGGGCCCATTCCAGCCGTTCCGTTTCAGCCCGAGCCGTAACCGCGCCACTGCGGCACGGGGTGCTGCACCCCGCGGACACGTGCCAAGACACCCGGGTGCGAAGCTGCTCGCCAAACGTTGCTCCACGGCTAAGCGATCCATGGCCATGGTTGGCGGAGGCTTCCGTGCCGGAGACCTAGCCCTTTGCCAAACGGGTGATGCTTGAAAACGGGTCTCCCACACTGGGTCCCACACAGGATGCAAATCAAGGGCACTGGGGTTTGGTTCAGAAGATTTGAGGTGACCACAAGGGACCGGTTTTTACACCGTGAGTTGGTGATATCAGTGGAGTTGCTAAAAAGGGGCAAAAGCATGCAAAAGCTACCACTTGTTGAGGGTAATAAGTGGGCGGCGCTTTTGATCATAAGCATGGGAGTTATCAAAGGGTGCAGTCTGGCAACACAAGACCCGCAATCCCACACCTTCCCTACGTTTGATTCAGGGTGGTCCGGGTATGGCAAAATGCCATGCAAGCCTTCCACGCCACAAAGCTGGTGCAGCTTTGCAGTGTCTTCTCAGGTGCTGAGCTCCAAAGTTTACACAAGCTTCAACTGTAAACCTGCAAACGAGACTCTGAAAAGCAATGCCAATGCAAACAGCGCCCCTTTCAGACATTCTCCCTTCACAACTCAAAAGACCATGCTCAACTCGCGACTTCAACTCCCCACTTCGGAAGTGATTTAGGGTGCACCCCGAGCGTCTGCATGATTTGGGCCAAATGCTCGCGAGAAAACTCGGTGTCCCAGCAGGTACCGTCAGATCCAACGTATACATGAGGCTATTGTTCATGGCGCCATGCTGGGGAAGATTCGGGCTCCAACAAACAGACTAAAAACGATCGCAACACTTGAAAAGCGAATGATTGCAGCGCCCAAAGAGTGTAGTTTAGGCGAACTGATACTTTCTTTCATGGAGGAAGCCGAGGGAACCCTCCCGAAGTGGTGAAGATTGGACTAGCTTCGGGATGCCAATTGTTGAGGCAGTGTCCTATTTCTGGGACTGTTCTCATTCAGGACTTCAACCCCCACACGGCCAGTGAAATAATGAGATCTAATGAGTAAGTAGATGCACCTGCGGCCACAGGTTTGACCTTTAGCAACCGCAAAGAAAGAACGACAAGTGTTCTCGGTGTCGAGTTTCTGGGCAAACCAATGGACTCTCCATGCGCCTTTGGTCCTGGCATCGGCGCCTATGGCCAGTTCCAGACCTTCCATATTTGAAGGAAGTCCTCTCTAACATGAAGTGGAAGGGGTCCCCCGGGGTGTCTTCTCATGTGTCATTGGCAAAGATTGCCGATGTGAATGTGTTTTATTTTGGCCCTGCGATCAGATTAGACAATATATGGCAATCTCCTCATTTCTTGGATCAACATTGGGCGCAAATCACTAGGTGGTAGGCATTTGCAATTTTTTTGCAGGTCAATGATGCTAGCAGCTATCGCAAACTACTTTTGCAGGAAGAACCTTGGGACACTCAACGACGAGTTCGCCTCGACCTACCCTCGAAGCCGAGACCTTTTCAAGTAACACCAAATGCCTGAGACACCCACTTGCACTACATGCCACGAAACAATACGAAACAATGTTTTTCTTGAACTTTGCACCGGTCTTGAGATTTTAACACGACTTGAGAAGTTTGTCTGCTCTTTGGATGGGTCCACTTGTGTTCAGCGAGGTATGGAATGTGACATCTATACCAGACCCTTCAATTCTATGTTAATCATTCGAAGAAAACCGCTTGTTCACTGGCCCGCAGCTTACCATGAAACGCAAAGGGTCTTGGGCATCAAAAAACAGGGAGCTTTTTGGAGGAGAAAGTCATGCTTTTGATGGTGGGGACCCTAAGTGCATACTGCTCACTGGGGCATTTCCAGGGATTCTGCGTTCGCGATGCACCTCTGCAAAGCATTCCTTCGACGGCCGATGGACTTCCCAAACCCAAACCGCGCTGCTTCTCTTTGGCTGCTTTGCAGGCCGAGTCTTCTGGCGATTGTGGTGTTCTGATCTGTTCTGAACACCGCACATCTGGGACAATTGTTCAACTAACATAGTCTTGAATCAGTGAACTCCTGAAGCAAACCTTGTGTCAGCACCACTAGGTTCACTACGTTTCTTCATGTTTCTTCCCTCAACAGGTGGTTTCTTCCCTCTTGTGACCAACACATTTGTTCAATCCATCTCTGATTGCTGCTAGTCTTTGCCGTTCACACATGTGCAGTTTCAATTTTCTTTGATTGCAAAAAGTATATTATCTCTTTGGCTATCTGGCTGCCACAACACATCTTTGAAGATCGACAGTTGGCAAATGATCACATGAAGAAGATGAACAGCTTGACAAAAGCCACCTTCCAAGAATAGTTGCACGTCTTCCTATCTGTCCCAACTCACATCTTCTTCAGCCTCGGACATGTGCTCCAATGCGGACCTTCCCTATGTGGCAGTACAACCAGCCTTCTGAGGCCAAACAATGGTCGCACACTCTCTGCCCAGGCCATCCATGGGACTGGAATAGATACCTAGCACTTCCAATGGGTGTCCTGTCTGGTGACCTATGTACGCAGTGTAGGGTGGTCCACCCTTGGAAGCAGCTGGTACCTACACTAGGGCCATAAATTAATGGTGTAACTCTTCCATGGATGGTCTGGGCTGGAACCATGGGAATGGCAGCAAGGGATAGCACGGAGTGCGGATGACCCATTTTCCGGAGACCAAGCAGGTGGTGATGTCCACTTCCATGTTACATGACTAGAGTATCTACTGACCAACAAAAAGCCCCTGCTCTTGCCCAGAAATGGTTTAACCTTACTAAATCACCAACTTTCACATCTCATCTCACCCATCGGCTTGTCCTATACGCCCCGAGGTTCCTGAGTCAAACTCTCATGCTTTCCGAATTGCGATTACTCCATGATCGGACATGAAGTTCGCCTCGTTCACCTGCAACAAATCGTCCAGTTCGTACCATATTTAGCCTACGGGGATCCTGTCCCATATCCTCAGGTTCGGTGGTATTCGACCCGCCCTGGCACCCACCCAACCCTGGCCCATCTTCAAGACGGAGGTAGGACTGCCACCGAGTCAAAGCATTTCTTTACACTCCGACGAATGAACCCACTAACATGCATGGAAGTGGTGAAAACCACCACCCCTGTTCGTAGGGGAGGAGTCTTCCCAAAGGTCATGCCATCCATTTCCATGTGATGTCTTCGTCGGAGGTTAATTGTCTTGAACTTCCCACTGTGCCCCTCCTTTTCCCCTCCTGTTCCTCTCCGCCGGTCCTTTTTTCTGGCGCTTCTGATGCTCCAGGACGAGCTGACGGATCTCTTCCATGGTGCTGGGAGAGGTGCTCACGTTGATCATCAGGTGGTCATAGACCTTCTCCGTGGACGTGTCCTGCGACGCCCGAGTTCCCGCTGACACGAGCCGTTCGCGGCCTGAGCTGCTGGCTCCGGCGTGTCTCAGCCAACAGTTGATGGTTTTCTGGATGGCACCCCCCTTTTGTTGTGTAGAGCAAGATGTTTCTTTTTGCAGGGTTTTTGTGGGCACTTCCATGTTAGGCGACTCAGATTGTACTTGGCTGTGATTGGAATGTGGATCCAAAAGAACAGTTTGTAGAGTCACCGTCCGGTGCAAGACTGTTCAGCCACTGCATCTTGAGGTTCTCCAATTTCTGAAAAGAACCAACAACAGCAATCACCCCAACACTGTATATATACAAATATACAATTGGATCCGTTTTAGGGGTGCAGCAGGCACAAGCTGGGATCTATTATATAAAATGCTGCTTCAATGAAGCGGTCCGCTGCATTTGCTCGAAGGTTTGACAGATCAAGAAGCCTGCCTCACCCAAACACTCCATGTATGGAAAGCAAAACGTGCCTACATTGGTGTGGTTTCAAGGGTCCATGTAGGCATATGGATATCTGTGTCATCTGTATGTACATTTATGTACACACCATAATTACAATATAGTGTCTGCACTGCATGATGCTCACACCACAGCACGAAAAAAAAAGACCCCGCCTCGAGCTCGTATCTTGGAGTTCCACCCTCCTCGTCCTTCTTCAAGACCTGAAACTTCGGGGCTCAACCAACTTTCCGGCCCAGATGTCCCATGTCTGTCCAGCCATCAATGGCTTTTAAGTAGGGGCCTCCCTCGGAAAACAGTCGTAGTGACTCGTTCTTAAAAAACCTGCTGGTAACCATGCACTGCCCACTAAAAATATCTCCCGCTGGATGTTCTCAGACTTGGTCCCAGAATTCCTCTAACACTATGCGCCACGGCGCGGCCGAAGCGCATCGAGATGACTCAGTTCGCTTGGCCAATTTGCAGAAGTCCTGAATCAAAGAACTCTGTGGGCCAAGCGGCACAACCAATCTTCAATGCCAGTTCATCACGGGGCACCTTGAGGTAATCCTTAGAGGCAAGGATTGAACTTGGCAAAGTGATAGACGTCGTGTAGATGGTCCATGTACTATCAAAAGGAAAGCCTTTTTCAGCATCAAAATCCATGTTGCCAGCAAGGTCAACTTGTGGTAGTACAACTGGTAGTACACAGTAGTACGTGCCTCTCTCTTGGGAGTCTGAACGCAATTTTGGATGGGGCGCCTCTCAGGAGTGTCGTATTTAATAGTAGCCACAACATCCAAGGTGAAAGAGGGACATTCCTTTGGCCCATTCGACGATTCCTTTTGGACAGCCGTTCACATGACCACAAGTGGGATTAGACCCTTGAAATAAAACTACTTTTAACTAATAGAGTATCTTGATCTATAAAATGCTGTTGAAAAGAACTCAAAGTAGTTGGCTCTGTTGATTTGTTGTGAAGCTTCCAGAGGCGGCGATCAGGGACGTGGATTAAAAGAACAACGACCATCGGCCGACCAAGGTTTGCTATCGGAAATTCCTAGTCAAAGGATGACTAATTATATAATATTAAGTATTTCTTATGGAACACGGGGATGATATTTGGTACACCCGGGAAGAGACCCACATGGAACCCGAATTCGTGGACTTTTGGAAGACGAGAAAACCCGCAACCCTGTCGTGGTGAACTCAGGTTCCATGTTACAGATCCCCCTGGGTGTATGTCCCGGACCGAGAAAACCGAAGGTGGACGATCCGACCTTAGGGGCCGTGGCCTTTGGTCATTCCAGTCGTCACTCCTTCGAGGCGGTCACCGTCGGACTCCCACTTCGTCAGTCCCATTCTCGACCGGTCGGCCCCTCGAAACGGAACATCCGCACCATGTCGTGGGAACACCTTACGCTCAGCGGCGGGGTTCGGGTGCGGCACCCGGTGGGAGCGCTTCGTAAGCTTCGTGGAACACGTGGAGTCGAAGCCCAAAACAGGAGGTTTCTTGGCCGTTCGGACACCCCTCCGAAGCTTCGGTCTTGGAAACCTTTCCGAACGGCCCACGTACGCCGGAGGTGGTCTCCACGCGTGGTTTTCGTGAAAGGATGACCATGAACAAAAAAAACAAAAACAAATAGGTGGTGTCATCCACTTCATTCTTGGTATGGGTGGTATGGGACCATGCTTCAACTGGGAAGGATCCGGTTCCGCCGGCATCCGCAGGCTTTCTCCTCCTCATCGCACCGGCTTTCTCAACCGAACCGGCGGACTGGGCGGTAGTGACATTGGATTCTATCCCCATCATATCCCAGACACGACCCATGGGACTGCCATAGGACTGCCGCCCCAGACTTGACCCCCAGTCAACCACCCCCAACTGGGGCAGCATATACGGCCGTCCCATGGAGTGTCTGGGATATGGAATATTTACATGGGGCTGGTTGCATCACTATATTATCATATATCCATGCATCATATCGCACCATACATGGAGTGAGTCTCCATAAATTAAATCACATCCAACTCCAACAAACACACCAAACACCACAAAAGCCACCTCTCCGTCCGTCTTCCCTCCATCCGCGCGCAAACCGCACCCCAGACCGCAGACCATCCGAGCTTCTGAGTGTCGGACCGTCGTGAACAAAGCCCACGTGTGGACGGTGGGCCCGGCAGGCACCAGCACTTCGCAGTCGTTATACCATTCCACACAGCGGCGGAGGGCTTGCTCAAAGCCTGCCCAAGCCCGAAACCAGCGTCTTTTTTGGGATCGGTCTGGAATGGCCAAACCAGCCTTGCAAAAAAAGTTGGAAACCCAGCAACTGAAAAGGCTCAAGATCAGTCTTACGAGTACATCATACTAACAACCCTACAAGATCGCATATTTTCCAACCATCCCTTTAACTTCCAACTCCCCCCCAACATGCAGTAATTTCATCGCCTGAGGAAAGCACTTCCAAAGCTAAAGGGCTCACAGCCACCTCTGCCATCCAATCAGCTTCTGAAAGCGGCGTTTTGACCGGCGCTCGGAACGCGCACAGCACGCCCTGGTGTTGGACCACCGTCTGCGAAGCCTCGGGACGGGACCTAACTGCGGGCGCTTCGTTGTCGTGCTGCTTGGGGTGTGGGTGAAAAGTCCTGGATGCCCAAACGCTCATGGACCCTCATCAGTAAGGGGTGGGAGCCTCATATGGGGGTCTGGGGTCTGAAAGAGACCCAAGCTGTTTGGAGCGTGGGTGGATCATGCATTAGAACATCGGTGAACATTGCGTCTATTTCTGTTTCTATATATAGGTATTATATATTTGAGCGGAATCAACCAAGTCACCCGATGTAACCTGGGAATAGCAACATGGCACCTCTGAAAACAAACATAGATCATCATAGAACCTGAAAGTCCGTGGCTCACATCAATACTGGATAAACATCCTTGGCTCGCATGCCGCTGGCTCCACATTCTTTTTGATCGGTCTAAGACTCTGAGGAGCAAATAGGAGGACACAGCACGAACCGGTCCCTCTCATGGATCCAAGATAGGCTTCAATGCTTCCCTCTGGAGACGAGCAAAGCAACAACTCCATCAATGGTGCCAGCATTGGATACCCCTGTACGTGAAACCTATCAATGAGCTCCAACAAATACAGCCCAGCACCGGCTCAGCTCAATCTGAAACGCACCAAGTTGTTGAATTTCAGATCGTCCCACACCGCTGGCCGTTCCAGGTTCAAACCACAGGTCGTCTCAAACAAATCTTCTTACAACCATCTGGTCGGTCCACGTGGTTCGACCGACACCACTCCCCCCTCCTCGCCCAGGCACCACGCCCAAGCGTTGCACGGGATGCGCCTCCCGCGGCAGCCTGAGCGCGGCAAAGCGGCTGCGCGCGGAGGCGTTCAGCTGCAGGTGCGACGGGAGTGGCAAGCAGCCCTCCTGGGGAGGTGTGGGAGAATGTGGGATTTGGAAGCAGGGAATGCTGGGATCTGGGAGAATCCTGGGATGGAGAAGAGGATGAAGGTGGTGTTGTTTCATTTAAAGCCAAGTGTCATCCTCATATATATATATATATATATGGGCGCATGTCTGCAAACAAAGGTTGTTGGATGAAAAACGCAAACAAAGTACACCCTGTTTGTGCCCTGGGAGAGATTCCTCAGAAGTTCAATGGGAGCTTCGCACGTGGAGTGGGGATGATCCTTTTCACATCGTTTCACATGCATTAAAAGGTGCAACAAACACTAGTCCGATACAAGGGCACTGCAAAAAAAATCAGAAACATCTTTCCTGTGGGACTTTCTGGCAAACCACCCACGACTGGACGAAAGAGATCCCTGATAGCATGGGGGGACCTCGCTTGCTACCCAAACAACCAAAAGGCCAAAAAGGCGCGAATACGAACCACCTGGACAATCCAAGGCCTATAAATCGGTTTCCAAAAACGCCGGAACCAGCTCTGGTTCCAAACAATATCGTCACCGGCCTCCATTCTCCAAATATGTAAGCCATTGGGAAACCCAATGGGAACAAACACCTATACTGTCCTAGAAAATGGATCTGCATCCGAAGGAAGGGAACGCTGATTTCCAACGTGACTCCGTGACACGCAACGGCCAATCCCCACACCCGAAATCCATTCAACAAATATGCGGGGTGACTCACCACCGATCGTGACTCACTGTCCATTCATCAAAAGACGGGTGAAGCGATGAATGACCCGCCCCCTGCCAGCAAACTTCGCGTCGACTTCCAACATTTTAGCACCGACTGTAGGATACCCATCTGGATTCCCCTCCATCAACCGAAACATTTTGGGGAATTCCAATGCGGATTCCTATCATTCGTGGCCGGCCTCTTTGCTGCCCAAGGGGCGGGTTCCATCCAGTGCAGCTGCAAACCGGAGAGCTTTAAGAGTCGGAAGAAAAAGGTCGCATGCCAATGGACTTTCAAGACCTCCGTCGTGCAGTGGCCAGCAAATGGTGTGGGCCGGGGGACAATGGAGAGTAGATGACGCAAAGTGCGTTTCGTGGGCATCGACGGGGCCACCCAGTCGCCGCAAGAGAACCTTTGAAACGTGTTGAAGTTGTAGTCACGGGTGTGTATTGAAGGTGTCTTCACCTGTCGGCGTATTCACCTGTATCCCAACACCTGCATCGAAACACCTGTATTATATGTAGGTGTGCTATAACACTTGCATCACCTGCATCTCTGCACCTGTATGATGATGATGATGAGGAGGAGGAGGAGGAGGATGATGAGGATGAGGATGAGGATGAGGATGAGGATGAGGATGAGGACGAGGACGATGACGATGACGATGACGATGATGATGATGATTATTGCGAACGTGATGATGTTGTTGATACCGGAGAAAAATGACTTACATATATATATATATATGTTTTTTTTGTGATTGTGCTGCTGATTGTTTAGCTATAATCTGAGAAGAAAAAACTTATTCATATTAATGTGCCATCTGAAACTTCAAAACACTTAATATTCTATATACTGTATACACAGTTATAAAATTGGTTTGTCAAACAAACAATTGTAAAATATATGTAAATAGTTCTTTTCAAACATAAACTGTTTATATATTAGGATATGTGTTCAACATGTGTGTCAAACATACACTATTTGAATATTTTTGGAAAATAACAAAAAACTTTTCATAGGTAGCTGGCTGGCTGATTCCGCCAAGTACCCAGAACGCAGGGTCAATACAATATCTTTACAAATGCAAATCTCTCAGAGTCTGATTGAACACAAAAAGTAGAACTCAGCATAAATCAGCAGTCATTTGGACACCCCAGATTTTCTGATTCTGGAAGGGATTTGGCTATGGGTATGTGATAATGATATATTGTGATAGTGTTGGCTAACTTCATGGTATATTGTGAGAGTGAGAGGATATTTTGTGAACTATTCGCTAATGATGATGTGTTGTGAGGGTGAGGCTAACATGATGCGATGATGCTTGCGATAGTGGTGACACCGATGATGATGCTTATAGGGCATAGGGCATAGGACAAGGTCCCGTTCACTGGGGGGCCAGCGCGTGAAAGGGCAAAATGGGTCACACGATACTCACTGGGGCACGTCGAGGGGGGTCGTTGTGACTCATTGCAGGGCTGCAGCCGGACTCTCCTCAAGCAGCCTTGAATCGAGCGCTAACACCCTTTTCCCCTCGGCCTGCTCGACTAGAAGCCTCAACAACGCCAGACATGCATGACTCTGGCCGAATCAATCCATACCACTCTGAAAAAGGTTAGAGCAAAACCCCCTGCTCATCTAGTGATCGGGAGATAAGGACAGAAAGGAGCGACTGTTGGAGGTTATCATTGTGCCTGGGCACTGATATAACACATGTGCAGCATAGATATCAAACATCTGGCAAAACGGGCACCTGGAAGGTAACAAGGCAAGGTACGCGAAAAAAAAACGCAAGTCTCGCACAAAGTCTGCTGAAGGAAGACCATCAGGGCCGTAAAGGTGTGCACAGCAAATGTCCTACCTTGAGAAGTGCCAGCCCAAAATGATAAAGCTTCAAACAATATTAACAATATATATATATATATGTATAGCGATTGTGATGATGCTGGTGATGATGCTGATGGTTCGACAGTTGATGGTTAAACACTTGAAGTTGGTAGCCGTTCTTTATGGAGAACCCTTCGCCACCCTTCGCAGGTGCTTTCCGGGAAAAGGAGGTCAAATGGTTTCTAGGAAGATGCACCTGCCCTTCCTCCACAACCCGGGTACTGCGGGCCTTGCAGGCCAGGACGATCGCTAAAGAGTTCTCCTGCCCGGTGGTGGCATGGCATGGCATGGCGAGCGAAAATCGAGTAGCACTAATTAATGAGTCCCACAAATTTATGCAACATACTGCACTCCCGGAGACCAAATGAAAATAAGTGGAACGTAGGCTCCTGAATCCTGGAAGACACATGTTCCTCTACGGTGGGCACATCACTTCCCTGGCGCTACGGTCTTCATCGCTCGTCATCACTCGCTGGTCGGGGGGGCTTCAACTCCGAAGGACAAATGTTCGTCAGTGGGTTGAATCATTCCAAGTCAAGTAGAGGTTGATTTATTGATTGATCTCCCTCAGACTCTCGCTCTCTATAAGTAATTAAAAAAATATATATATATACAATTATAATCTCTGAAACATCCCCTCCCCAAAGAAACAAGTTACACAGTAAGTTACACTTAGATAGATATAGATAGATGGGTCGCAAGAGCATAGCGTCAGATGGTTCACCAATGCATTAGCACTTTCAAGGACAACACGGAATGGGAACGGCTTGGGAGCAATACTTAGATGTAGACATGTAGAATCACAAAAAAACACAGAAAAGAAAGTGAAATGATGTCCTCCAGCTGCGTCTTAAATGCGCCCGGAATGACTAAAACAGTGTACGTTTTCAGCACCACGCCACCTCTTCGTTGGCCACTTCTTGGTGGGTGGAGTGGCCCCCCTTGCTACCATTGAATTCGTGCTGAGTAAGAGGAAGCCTGGGGGAAGTAGGACATGTGATGTGTTCCGAAATCGGAAGTGACACACACACACACACATTCCACGGACGCCAGCGTCCAGGCGGCGGGTCCGTCCTGCATCGCCAGGAGTTGAAAGACCTGTCCACCATAGCCACCGATGTAGACCTGCCCCCCGATCGAAGGGAGCGACCCCGTCGTCCTGTGAGCGAGCCGAAGATCGCATCCGTTTCGCAACATGGAGATGGAAGGGCCAGTATGGAGATGGAAGATGGAGATGGATGGAGATGGGCAAAAACCGTGTGATGAGGGAAAAGCTAGTATACAAATCAAAGCAGCTTTTCGATCTCCCAGATCAGTGAAAATCAAAGCCAGGGGGGCAACTCCTGGACAACACATCAAGCTTTTGTGTGACTAGGTGCCGCGCAAGAACCGAGGCTTTGGGATTATGCACAATTTCTGGTACCTTTGGGAAAGGACAATGCTTGTGTTCACGGTGACTCATACAGCACAGTACCTGGTATCGCTTGGCTTCTTCCCAACGCCTTCCACATCAACACATGTCACATGTCATCACATGTCATCACATGTCACTGTGCTCTGGCTGAAACAGCCAATTGATTTTAACCTGGACATTTGATGACAGGCCCAGGGAACCCTGTTATATATCCCAGACACTCCGTGTATGCCATATATGCCTACATTGACCCCCCCAAACCACCCCAACTGATCGGTAAATATGCCAGTCCCATGGAGTGTCTGGGTATCACTATGATTAGCTGGTAGCCAGACCAGAGCTCGGCTCAGGAGTCCCATCCGGATCCATCTCTCTGCACTTCGGATCCATCTCTTGGGACAAGTTCCTTCATCAAACAGAGACATCCAAATATCGTGCCAAAGGGCTCTGTCTTCTCCAAGAAATCCCCTGGTTCTCCAAAAAAATGGGTTCAACTGGATTGGGGCTGGACCAAAAAGCTCGCGTGCATCAGTGAAACATCAGTGAAAGCCACGCTTTGTACGTCTTTGTGCCTTAAATGGCCTGGATGGCCATTTTGTCTGCGGTCTGTGAAAAGAAACGTTGACAGCACGAGGGTTTTGACGAATGGAAACAAATAATATACTATATACCATGCAATATTTAGTACCCCAAACATCTTCTCCTTGACCACTTTAAGCGTCAAAATGCGTCAAACCTACAGCAACCCCATTCACCAGACGGTCACCGCATGTTGTAATCCCCTGTCTTCTTCTTGATTTCCTGTGCCCCAACCCCTCCCCATCACCGAACCGGTCGCCGGTCCCGCTCCGCGGTCCCCCACACCTGCGCGGCCGCCAAGGCGTGCACGCGCTCGGTCCAGCGCAGCCCGGTGAAATCGAAGACCTCCGCGCCCAGCAGCGCGCCCAGCTCCTGCGCGCCCGGCGAGCTGCAGAGCTGCGGCGACTGGCGACCGTAGATCGAAACGGAAAGGACACCAATCAAAACACCCTGCAGTGCTGCAGAAAAGTGGGGTGTGAGAAAATGGAGAAAGAAGTGAGATGATCCTCAAGAGGTTGGTTTCCCCGTCTCAACTTGGCTTGATGTTGGTCCCCAAGACGTCATCAGCAAGGTATGAATGATCTATCGCCAACTACGCAGTCTCAGGCACGGAATTTGGATGACAAGAAGTTCTTAGTAGTTCTAGCTCCATCGTGCGTTGAGCTCGCGACGCGTGCTTGATGAGCCGTTGGCGGATTCGACTTAACTCCTTGGCATTGGCCCAGGTTCGCCTGGAGGCTTTGGGCCTGGCATCCAGCAGGATCGGAGACCAGCGCTCGCGTGTCGACCAGCGCTCACCCACCTGGGGACGTTCTCTCCCTGTCTGGGGGCGGGTTGAAAGCATGAAGAAACACCCATAGGGTCCATGTAGCTCCTGAGAATGGTCTCGGAGAAAGTACTTCCAAAGAATGGTCGAACTGGAGCCAGAGATTTGTCTATCATGGGTCAAGGTTGGCTCAGTCGCTTTGTTGTAGGAATTATTTCAGGACAAAAGCCTCATTGTCATTGTCATTGGGATGAACCATCCGCAGACACTTGAAACCACCAATCAGTTGAAGTCAATTGACAAGCTGTGCACCCTATAAACCATCGCCAAAATCACAGTGAAAACGTGCTTGAATCCTCCCCTGAAGACTAACAAAGTGCTGTAAAGTTCTTGCAATGTCTTGGAAATAGAGGACACCTTGAACTTGGGCATATCCGTTTGCCATGATCAATGCATGATGGCTAGTTAAAGCCTCTTCAGATCTCTTCAGCAAAGTGATATATGATATATGCTCTTTTGCCAATTGTTACTGGAAATAGGACACACCCACGTTGCTGTACGTAGCTGCTCCGGGTGGAGAAGCATAACTGCAAGTAATGTTTTGGCACCCTAACTGGTGCAGGGTTACCGGAGTTCTTCTTCAACCGGCAGTTTGTTGCTAGCGTTACTGCATCAATATATCTAAAAAATTAAAAACCATAACACACACAAAACAACATGAGAGCTCTTTCACTGGAACTTCCGACTGGGGCTCTTCTACCACTTGTTTGAATGTGGACCTTGTGGGAGGATGTGGGGAGTCGACCTGAAGAGTGGAATTCGTCCTTCTAATTTCAACAACAGGTGTTGAAAGGAGGTGTTGACTCTTGTGACCCAACAACACGATATCATGTGTCAGCAAGGGTTTGCTATCAACAACGACTAGGGTAGCCATTGCTCAAGACGGCATCGCAAAAAAAGACTACAGTGACTACATAGACGGTTTTCAACATCAGGAAGTAATTAAGTTGCGGTGCCCAGGACACCAATGGGTCGACACAACATCACAAGACGAGATTCTCCCACTCACTAACATGGAAATGGACAATGGCCGTTTTCAGGGAAGACCATGAAATCCACTAGACACAGGTGGCTTCCACTTCCATAGCTAGTGAGTCAGAGGGTAGATTCTTTCCACCTTTCTTACAAAGACGGCCCTCTTGAGGTCTCAGTTTCTTCGGCCACTTCTCTTTCCGCCCTCCCTCACGTCCGCCGCCCGTCCGCTCCGAGTGGCTTGTGCAGCCAGGTGCCAGTGAGCCCGCACCTGTCAGGTGCCGAGAGTCTCCACAAACAGGGTCCGTTCATGTTCATGTCATGTCCATTTGATGCAGCCCGCTGAAAACCAACCAGCCATTGTATAAAGGAAAACAGTCGGACTCAGGGTGGGTCCCATGTGAGCTTTCGGACGTGTACATGTATACCCCAGGGGTCACAAAGGGGTGCTATCCATGGAGATTAGGGGTGCCCAGCTTCTCCACGCACTTGCGGACTAAACACCTCCCCGTCTTGTGACCCCTGGTCTATTTAGGGTTCGTTCTCCCAGGGTTTGATACGCATGTCGCCACTTCCATGTGAGTCACATCGAATGGCGGAGCCTCGGGGACCTGCCGAGACTCGTCGGTCGGAAGCGGGATTCATAAACCGGGTCCTCCCACCCCATTTGAACACCCTCTTCAGGGTTATGGAGGGTTGATGAATCAAGAGTCGACAGAGTGAAAATAGAGCCTATAGACTATAGAGTCAATCATCGCCATTTCAACATGCTGAGATTCTGAGAAGACGGTGCACCTCATGGATCCAGTCGTGCGCACTCCGCACGACTGGAAGGCGTGCCAAACAACCAGCCCACGGCGATGTGGATAGCTTGGAGAATCGAGACATGCTTGACATGGATTCCGCTGGGTCACTCGGTCAAACGGTCAACGGCTTCATACTGCACTCCGCAACGACTCGCCGTCTGAAAAAGGCATACAAATGCACACATGAGTCACATGAGGTACTGTCAAAATGTATTAGGTGCGGCTATGGCATCGTCAGATTTGTGGGTTCCCTATTGTTTGACTATGTGTTGGATTGTTAAAAGGGTATCGTTTTGTAGCATGTTCTCTGTGAGTCCCCTATCATTCGCCAGGGTTTGGAGCATGTCAGCATATGTCAGCAAATGAACCAACGCTCTTGCGAAAACGTAAGCATTGGACATGTTGAAATGAAACAAATTCCAATCTAATCATCTATTAACTGAGAAACCATTGAAAAAGGCCGATTGAACAGTACCGTCACCGCTCCGATGGAACGTCAACGCACCCTCCCCCTTCCCCCAAACTCAGTCTCTCGAAAATGGTCTTCACCCGGCCCTCTGGTCGCCTGTCTGAAGGTGCCTTCGGGCGAATAACGTGCCCCGGCCGCCCCTTGCACCAGCAAAGCCTGCGATGTACAGCGGGGCGGCCGGGGTGGGTACTGGGCCCAGGGGTGGGTAGGGTGAGGTTTCTTCCAAAAAAACCAGGACACAGCAATCTGAACTTAGGATGCATGTTCTAATTAGGTCCTGTCGGGCGGTCCAAGCAGGGTTCCTTGGAACTGCTGAGGGACGACCAATGAAGCCCTAGGCCTCTGTTTCATGGGCAAGGGGGTCTTAACTATCTTGTGAGGATATATGGGCCAGGAGGTTTAGGGCCCTAGGGAAGAGCAGTTAGTTCATTGATTGCACAGGACATCGACGGCTTCATCATCGTCGAATTGGGCCCTGGTCGTGCAGGTATCGTGTTGGCCCCCGCCTTGGGTCGAATGAACCCAGGACCCTACCAGAACCATCCTCAAACAGGGTGTCCAGTGGGTTTCGCCCACAAGCATTGTGAGGGCAGTCTATTGGAGACCCCGGGTCCGGGGTACAAACCCCCGCTCCGGGGTGAATGCTGATCTCATGCCCCCCTCCACATCCTATCCTCCTCTGAAGAGGCCTGGGGGAGTGACAAATCCATCAGGCCGCATGACCGAGGCGACCCGGCGACCCACGTAGCCCTCGTAGCTCGGCACCTCGTAGCTCTCCTGGCGCTGAAAGGGGTGGGCGCTCACGATGGCGGCCTCAAAGCCTCGACAGGAACGGCCCGGACCCCGGAAAAGGGCACCCAAAACGGCCCGGACGGAACCGAGTTTCGGAGGTACGACTGGAAGCCCCAACGGAGTCCGGGGATGAACAAGGTATGGATTCCTGGGGGCCAAAGACGGGAAAAGACGATGAACATGGATGAAACATGGATGAAAGAATGTCAGTGGGATGAATCCGACCTGATTGGATTGCGCAAATGTGTTTTTTTCACCTCCACACCTGCGGAAGGGGAAAAAACGGATCACCTCGGATGGTTGCTTGACATGCCTCGTGTGTTGCATGGAAGGTAGCTCATTGAAGCTTGGCAACATCCGATAAGAATCTCTTCACAAACAGAAACAACATCAATGTTGAACCAACAACCGACCAGGAAGTGACATATTTAGTGTTGAATGTGACAGTGCAGCAAATTATCAATGCAACACAGCTAAACCTGAATTATATACCACAAAAAAATAACGCAGGGATTCCTGAAATTCCTGACACCAATTCCTAAGACAACTTGTCTTCTTGACTGTCAAGCTGTAGATAGCAAAACATCCCTTGGAAGTCCAAACCTCGGTGCAAGAAGCACCCATGCTGTCCCAAAGCTTTCCAAAAGCATCTGCTTGGGTTTTGCCAGCTTGGCCTCCAGACTGGTCAAGACCCCTTTCACAAGTCTTTCATCTTCCCCATGGATTTCGAGAAGAAGCACCCTCGTCCTTCCTCTCAGAACCTCCAAACGGACGTTTCGGTCGTGGTCCGTGCGTTCTTCCGGAGCCCGAGTGAAGCGCTGAACCAGCGGCAGTGGGTCTCATCCACAGCCATGAAGGTGGTGGGCGACTCAAAGATGCTGCGGATGAAGTCCTACGAATGGCTCCGACTCGCTTCCAGTGAGATGTTTCTCCGTAGGTTTCGAGTGAGAGTGTTGTCATTGTGGCTTCGGATCCGTTTTACTCCGTATGCCGTGTCTACACGTGGCCCGGGGACTCTTGTTCAGCCCAGTAGAGGAACACGATGATACTGTATGTAGACTTTCACTATGGGCCACGGGCATTGCAACTCTTGCAAGTTTTGTCGTAAGCTTTTGTCAAATTCGACCTCCATTCTCGCAGCCTCGCAGCCTGTGGTCCAAGCATGTCAAAGCATTCCTGGAGTCTTTCTTGTCAAGATCCGACCCTCTGCACTCCTCGCCAGGCCAGGTGTTCAAACAATCTTGATGCTTGAAGTTGAATCCCTGCCACCTCCTCAGCTACCAGCTACCAGCTTGGCCTGAGCTTACGCAACTTCTCCACTTGCATCATCCCCGATGCTTCGCCTTCCCTGTGGATGATTTTTGCGCCTTCTCACGCACCAAGGTCTCCGATTCATGTGGCCCAAAGAACCTCCGCCACTGAGTCCCTCATCCGCACATGCAGCAGGACCCCAAGGCCGCACATCCAACGTTAAGCGTTCTGCTTTACCTCGTGCAAACAGTTCCTCTACCTACATGTGGCATGCTGCCTCTCAACAAGGTAGAGTCAGCACTCCCAGCTCCAGCCGGATGGGGACCATGGGGATGGGTCGTATGTCAGTGCATTCAACTGACTGACTTGAAGGTCTCATGCCATGTGCTTCAAACCTCGGCACTGTCTGGCGTCTGGCGTCTACCAAGACCTTCGGACTTTGAAAGAGCGCTGTGGTGTGGACTTTCTAGCAGGGGAGGTTCAAGAAGTAGATGGCACAAGTTACCCCCCCAAGTTCGGTGGTTTTGAAGTGGATCCCTATTTAAGATATCTTTGGGTGCCAGTGCCATCGAACCTATGACACCACTGTACTGTACTTCCTTTTTCGATCTTTGAATCTTCCTTATCGGTCGTGGCCTTGCCCTCATGGTACAGGTGCTGAGAATAGCTTTGGAGCACGTCCGGGCTCAATCCGCGCTTGTTGCGTGTGGGGTTGTGTGCTGAGCACACGAACGCGAGGCGACTCTCGTCTTTACGAAAAACTCACTTGGTATGAACATGTACCTGGACCTGAAAAAGGGGTGTCCTGTCTGGAGATCCCTAGGTAGTGGGCCGGGGCTTCCATTGGGCACCCCTTTGAAGGGTCCTGGTATGAACCATCTACTCTTGAATCGCTTCCAAGGCTTCGAAATCGTGGCGAAACGGAGGTACAAGCACCAAGAGCCCTCCTCTCGCCGTCCAACGCTTGTTCTTGATGCTTTGCCGCAAAACACCCCCCAACCCCCCAGCAACCCGTGGACGCCCCGCGCTCCGACCCGTGCGTGTGCCGTGTGCCGTGTGCCGTCCCGTGCCGCTCTCTTCCACGAGCGCCAGCGACGGTGTCCTCCTCAAAGCGCTTCACGTCGTAGGCGCCGAGGTTACTCTGCAAGTTGGCCACGGTGCGTTCCACGGGCCTCGGTGACGAGGCGGTCCACGACGGTCTAGGCTCTATGCATAAGGCGGGGGCGGTCTCTGTCTAGCAAAGCCGACCAATTGTCCACCGGGGAGAAGCCGACCGTGTTCCACCGGTTTTGGGGGATTAAAACGAAGACAACACTGACTATACACATGATTTAAAACAGGTAATATATAAATGTTGCATGTTAATGAACATGAACTATGGCATTCTGCAATATTGTTCATCGGATGCCGCGAAGGAACAACAACAGGTTCTTACATCGGGACACGTTTCTCTTTTTTTGTCTTTCGCATGTACCCGAAGTATCATAAAGTACCCGTATATACCCCACTTGTGTGGAAGGGCTTGGACAGTGACCCCGTCAGTTGGCTTTGATAACGAAAAAACCATTTGTGTCCTCTAGAACGGTTAAATGAATCAACATGAGTCAACCCTACCGGTGTCCCTGAACCAACTCGGACAACGAGACTGCCCAGGAGGCCGTATGGTGGAAAAAACGGCACCTTGCGTCCTCGATGTACTAAAGTCAGGGTATCCAGAACACCTGGCTTTGTACTCCAATATCGCCCTTGGAAAAATCTGTGATAAAGAATGTTTTGGTAACCTGGTAATATGTAAAATGCATCAAGACATCACATGCCAGGACACGACCCACCAAAGGTGGTTAATCAAGAATCAAGACCCCTTCGCCTCAAAAAAAGGGGTCCACAAACGGACACCCCCAAGTGCTGGGCCCCGGTAACATCCACCAAACTCATGCTTCACCCCTTTTGATCCTTCTCCTGCTTTTTCATCCGTCTGAGTGGCAAATTACGAGTCTGCAGGAAGGCCACGAGATCAATCAGCATATCCTCGGTGCATTGGGATAGGACCGAAGCTCCCAGCTCCCCTGCCAGTTGTCCCGACAAAGTTTCAAGGATTATCCACTGACTGGGTAGGCATTGGACCCAGAATTGGAAGAAACCAGTGAAACCCGACTGGGTACCTCAACTGTGCTCATCCACTGTATAAGCATTAGCCCCAGAATTGGAACTGGTTGAACAACTACTGGTTGAACATGTTAACAATGATTTTAAAGCATTGGCACTCTAACAAGAGCTACTGCTTGTTGAACCACTTCTGGTTGAACCACTGTAACAAGAGCTCCCGAGGTTGAAAAAAGTCTTGCTTGAATTGAAGTATATCCACTCTCAGTAACTCATGTCCATCCTTTGTACACTCTGCAGGCTGGTTAAACAGCGCTTGCCAGTGCGGATTTACTCCTACTGTACAATCATTGATGCCTGTCGGGCGACAAAACATGTAAGATGTATAAACTATAATCATTATCCTCTACTCGGGACCATCCTGTCTGGGTGTCTAGTGGTTTCGCCCACAAGTCTTGTAGTCTATTGGAGACCCCTAGGATGGTGCAGGTACATATTAAGCCTTACACTCTGACGAACACATCACACGGAAGTGGATGGCATGGCCCCCCTTTCAAGACCATCTTCCTCTACAAGCAGGTGGTTTTCCTCTACACCTCCGACTTGAAAACCTCCTCACTTCTCCGCTTTCCCTGCATTCCCCCGAGTCTCATCCACCAGGAAGTGACCAATGTTCGCACAGTCCGGACACCGCTGACCTGGGGCACCGGCGGAAGGCACCAGACTCCGCAGCTCTTTCAGCAGCGCTTGTTTCTCACCAAAAGACTTGATGTGGCATGATGACCTCTAAAGCCTATAGCTTCCATCTGTGCCACTGTGGGACAGTAACTATCACAGCTTCCTATCACTGCTGACCTCTAGCACATATATAGCTGATCACCCACTGCTATAAAGCCTACAGCAAACCTATATGGGGGTCTCAGGATGTTTCAGGGGTGAAGCCTGGTGCCTGTTCACGCTTGAAGGGATCACCCTACAGCTAAACACAATGTCACAATGTCTGTCCAATCACCACCGAACTGAACTACAGTATGTGATGTCTAAACAATAGAAACAATTCTCTTATTGGGGTCATGCTTTCTTCCCGTCGAACACCTAAACAATCTTAATCACATGAGCGAACACCCATTGGAAGAGAGTTGCAATCCTCAGAGAGAAACAATCACTTACTCAAACCACCACTGCCAACCCAGCCAACTCAAACATACTTACAAAACACATCCGGACAACGAGGTTGCAAACGCCCTTCGGGAAACAATTTGGTTTAGAATGGTTTAGGGACTTCCCCAAAGCCCGTCAAATTGAACCAAACATCCAAAATGTTCACCCCTCCAACAAAACGCAAAAAGAAACGAAACGTCTCCGCAGCACTGTGACTCTGCAGCAAATCATTTGAAAGGAACTCTGTGAGTGTCCATCGTGCACGAAGCGCGTGAGGCCAGGCCAGTGCTCCTCGGCATTCTCAAGGATCTCGAGGAACTCCGATAGCCGAACGCCACGAGCTATGAACCTCCAAGAAGGTTTTTTGGTCGCGAAGGCAGGAAGTTCGAGGTTGGAGAGGTAGACTATGTGCCCTATAGGTTTCCTGGCCATTGATCCCTAAAGCTCCAGCCGTACCTCCGTTCGAAGATGGTTGGGGTGGGTGCCACGGGGGGGTCTGTGCCCGAACTGGGCCAAGGCGCCCAGCAGTACGGCATTTAATGGCTGCTTACCTAACAACCATCCCAAACACTCCATGTATGCCATACATGGAGTGTCTGGGCATTGTTTACTTATATCTTCTAACTCACATACAACTTACAACCATCTGTGCACTAATTAAGGGTTTTAGACTATAGCTTTGCACTAAGGGTTTTTTAGACTACAGCACCAGGTCAACCTTTCTTGTATTGGTCTTGGCACGTGCATATGCGTTTAGTGGACCATTGCCTTGGCGATCTTGGTATAGAACGGAGAGAATAAGGAACAATGAGTACAGAAGAAACAAAGAAAATAGAAAAAACAAGGTACAAAACTGGAACACACATGAATTAAACACAACGAAAATGGGAACGCAAACAAAGTAATTAAAAGAACACACATATAATGACAATCCGCCGCCCCCGGTCTAGGTCGATGAACGTGAGCGCGTTGACGACTGTTGCGGGGTGGGTGTCTTTCCGTGTTCCGCGGTGGGCGAGGTCGCGCTGCCGTCACATTGACAAAACATATACCCTAAGAGCATCCTTGCTCCGTTCGTAGCGATGCCAGGAGCCCAGAGCCCCGTTCGTAGCGTCCTTGCTCTAAACATGCGCCCTTTTCATTGACAAAACTGCCCCGTTCGAGGCGTCCAGTGTCCTAGAAGTTCTCAACCAGCTTCTTCGACCGAACTGTGGAGTCGAAATACAGTTGGCCGAACAAGCCCAAGCCTGAACTCGTGACCGAACCGGGGATCAAGTGACCGGTCACGAGTTCGGAAGATCCAGGAACATGTGCCCCTTTGGTCCAGGACATGTCTACTTTTTTCAAAGTCTTTGTCTACACCATCAAAAAATGTATCCCAGACACTCCATGTATGGCATATTTACCTACATTGGGGTGGTGGTTTGGGGGGGTCAAGTCTGGGCGGCAGTCCGTCCTGGCAGTCCCAGACTCGTCGTGTCTGTCCATTGGACGGCTTGGGAACTGTCGGAATCGGGTCTGGCTATGCGTCGGTCGCTACGGGTGAGATGGTGAGATGGGGGCAGAGGGCATCGTTGGATCGAAGGCCCGGGTAGAAGAGACCGGAACCGGGCTTGGCGACCAGTGCATGGACCTGCAAGGAAGATCCTCTTTTCAGGTTCCATGTGAATTTTCCGGGGTGTATCTGGTTTGTGGTTCATTTGACCTGAAGTGCTCGTTGAACAAACAAAAACTTTACCCGATCCCAGCTTCCATGGTCACCCCAAATGCTCGAAAGCTTGATCGTATAGGCAATGCGTATCCTTTGGGCAGAACTCTATTACACCACGCTTTTCGCCACGCTTTTCGTGCCGCTTTTCGCGCCGCTTCGGCCTGTGCGACACATCCCAAAAGTCCCGCAGCCGCTGACGGGACTCACTCTCCTGCCGGACTGGACGTCTCGTCTCGGCGCACCGAACCGTCCCGGAGCTGGCATCGGGTGGTGACGGGGTTCGGCAAGTGGTTGGAGGGTCTGTGAGAAAACTCCTGAAATGATACCCTAGGGCTGCAAGGACCTCCTGAGAAGATGGTTTGGGTGGGTGCCAGAAAACAAACACATCTAAACACAAAACAAGGAGTGGCCGCCAGCACTGAACCTGTGCTTTCCAGCCACCACCATCCGAGCAGTGCGCCAGCTAAAGACCCATACAGTTGGTGGAGAGACTTTAGGCGATTTGTATTACACTGGGTGCAGATCACTTGGGAGTTAAGGTGTCAAATGACATAAATGGATCTGGAACTGCGACAAGGGGACCTTCTTGATGTGTGACTGGTGTCAACCCCAAACCCTAAACCATGTTGGCAAGCCAGAGTGTACATCAATGAGGAAGAAACATGTGGAACGTGATGGAACGTGAATGAAAAGTGACTAAAGTGACACTACTGTACCCATCCATCCAACTGCCCCCCTGGCCGCCCCCCCCATCAGCCTCTCCTCCTGCTCCTCGACGAAGATCAGCTCCAGTCTCCGACCCGTCAGGATGGAGGCAGGGATGTAAGGCGAGTGGAAGTCGGTGGCTGTGCTGCGATCGCGCACGCAGAAGTGCTCCAGCTTCCTGAGCTAGAGCCAAGCGGGTTAGGAAAGCCACACACGTCCTAGCCTAGGAGAGGTGCAGGGGAACGCAAGAACTCACGCCAGCATCCAGTATGTACTCCCAACTGGGGCCTATTGGCTAGGACAATTGACTCCACGTATTGTCTGCTTACCTGTAGTAGGTGGGTCTTTGAGTGACCTGGGTGGAGACTAGTGTTGTCACTAAGAAGGGAAACTGGCGAAGCCCACCCTAGTCGGTCCTTTCAAATCTGAACCTCCATGGTTTCGCATCAACGTTCTTCAAGTCCCCCACTTGGCGAGTTTCGCATCAACGTGTCAGTCTTGCCCAGTCTTGCATCATCCAAGTCTCATGATGGAGTTCTGCAATTCCCCAGCTCCATCCAAAATGGGGCTAGCCCTGCTCCTCCTCAGTCATGACGGGCTCAACTCGCTCGCGTGGTCGGCCCGCACTTCGCCCAGCGTCTTGCCGATGGACATTTCTCACTCTCCCATACACTCCATGTATGGAATATATGCTTATACATTGACCCCCCTGGCACCACCCCTGGCCTGATCGGCAGTCCGACATGGCAGTCCCATGGAGCGTTGGGGTCTTATACACAGGATGAGTCACGATCAGACACCATCAAAGGTCCATGAGAGTGGAGATGAGTGGAGTGCAGAGTCCAAAAGGTTTATCAACAAAAGAGGACGACTGCTTTCATGTCAAAGGCTTAAGATGTATGACTCGCACTCACCAAACCAACCCCTTTGAAGCTTCCATTCTCGGGCGCTGCCAACCACTGCCAAGCTGCTTGGTCCGAGTCGCTCGGCTCAGGTTGCGGAGGCGTTGCAGCTCCCAACGAGACAAGTGCGGTAGCGCAGCAGTGCTTAAATGCTGATTCCAGGACTTCACCAAAGCCTCAGTCTGTGAGCCGAAACAGACTGGCCAGCAGTACGGGACGGAGTCAACAGAAGTGATTTGGAAGGTGTACTCAGCCAACACCTAGGGCTCCTGGCCCACATCCGCAGAAGGTAGTTAGACCCCTCAAACCCACTCCAAACCACCTTCGAAACGGAGGTGGTTGGAGCCCTGGGAATGCCAAAGTTTGGAACTTCTTTGGGCCTCCACGGCCGAATGATTCAACAGAATTCAGAAAGCTGGGGATCCAAACAGCTTCTCAAGTGGTCCGCAGGAAAGAACATCACACACTCCGTTTGAAAAGCACCTTCACTTCCGGAACTTTCGTAGGTAGGAAACCCCTTCCTGCCTTATGACAGCAATGTGTTTGAATTGCTTTGACCGAGCACGGAGGAAGCCCCGAAAAATCGATCGAAGAAACACATGCTTGGATGTCACGGATGCGCAGTGTCGCTTGAAACCTGGAATTGCCACAGGAAAAAGACACGATAGGCTGATAGGCTGTGAACACAAATGAGAACAAACCCAACAAGCTCGGAAAAAGCACTTCACATCCCCGGTTCCTGAAGTGTCGAACTTGCACCTCCCACAGGGGGTTTGGACGTTTGGCCCTGCCAGTTCCCAACGCAACCCAGTTCGGCAGGATGATCTCCCCAACAACAACCCAACGAGATTTGTTCACAGCAAAGGAATTAACGCAATAGACCAAATGTGGAAGATGTGCGGTGTAGTTTCAAAACAAATTTTGTGAACTGAGAACCAGCTGAGTTTTGACTTCAGAAAGTGGGGAACTTCATGTCTTTGGCAGTCGAAGCTAGGGATGGTGAAAGTTGCAAAATGACAACTGCTCAGCAAATCAAGAGGTTCGTGATAGTGCTGCTGCATCCTTGGTCACACACGAGAAACGGATACAGTAGAAATGGTGCGAACTGCAAACTCGGCCGTTTGGGCAGCTTTGAGTTCCAACTGATGGAAAGCATCTTCCAAAGTGATGGGAGCCATCTGTTCATGGATGTTGAACTAACAAAAAGGGCTGTTGAACAAACACACACACAAACAAACAAACAAACAAAACCAAACCAAACCAAAACAAAACAAAACAAACAAAATAAAACATCCCTCAACATCTTCAAAAGCTACTGCCAGGCCACAGGTGCCTCAGCTGTTCCAGCTGCTCACGCTCCGAGGAGCGCCCTCGCCGCTCCAGCCGTGCCGCGCGTTGCGCCTGAGCCTCTTGCCGTGCCAGGCGCTGAGAGGCGGAAATCAAGAGATGCGCTGTAGAGCTCTTGTGGTCCTGAGTGTTTAGTCCCCAAGTGAGTGGAGTAGCTGGGCACCCCTAATGCCTAACCTCCATGGATAGCACCCCGTCTTGTGACTCCTGGTGTATGTGTAATATATATATATATCTCTCTCTCTCTCTCTCTCCCTCGCTCTCGCTCTCGCTCTCGCTCGCTCAGTTGCCGAAACAAATCGAAAGCCACCAAGTTTGGCCAGGTTAGGAGGGCCAGAGAATCATCCGGAAGAGGTGTGTTTTTTCTATCTTGTTCTTCAAAAGCTGCTGATCTAAGGGCAACTGTGGCCATTCATTCACCAAGAAATTGGTTGCGCAAAGTAAACAATATATGCAGTCTGGGAAATGATCAAGAAAAAAAAGACTCTTTGAGATATGTTTCCGGCTCAATGGCTTAGTGAGACTGACGTGTTACTCGTGGCATGTTGTGGCTTCATTCCGTGGCTTTGGTAAAGTGGGTATTTGTGCTACTCTTGGGCCTCTAGCAGTGCAACCAATTGCTTTCAACTTGAGAGCTTGGTGAACTTCTCCACCAAAGGCTGTCAGTGTGCGATCTTAACATCGCCCCGGCTTGATGCGATGTGGTTTTTGAGTAAATGCTCAAGACCAGCACTCAAAGGAACAACCTGTTACTTCGAGCGATGGCACGAGCAAATTCCTTGTGGAACATGTTTGAACTGGTGGGATAAGAGTTGTCCGGGCCAAGCCATCCTGCCACCATGGCCACTCCGCAGCGAGGAAACGAGAGAAACAACAGGCCAACTCTATAGGGAACATACCAAAAGGCTAACCCCATATGCAACTACTCAGGGCAGCGACTACTCCCATTTCAAGTCCAAGAAGGAAGTGAGCAATCTCGTTTTGCACGTGCTCAAACGAAGCACATATGATTTATGTAGACTCTTGATGAGTCCTATGAAGAGTTTTTTCAATCCAAATGGGATGGGTCATGAACATCAAAGAGTCTACGACATGTGTGACTTCTTCTCCAGCTCTAACCGCCGCTCTCAGCCTCTCAGCTCAGCTGCTCGATAGTCCCACCGTCCGAAGCTCGTGGCGGAGCCCTGCCGCAGCACGTGCGCGTAGACGCGGAGAAAGCCCAGGAGTCGGCCGTGAATCAGTACGCCCTGCCCGGCCGTGCCCTGGCCACTGAGAGTGGGACGTGGGAGCGTCGGGGGACAGTGGGACAAGGCGGACAATAGGCATCGAAAATGGATCTGCACTGAAAAACACCTATAAGTTATAAGGGTTTTACAGAATGCCAACTTCCCAAGAATCCTGGCAAGGATTAGTGGTCAGGTTTTGTCGGATGTTTGAGATGCTCTAGTTCTCCAGATCAGGCAGAAAAAACAAACAACTGCCTCAAGATGCGTGGCTTTGTCTTCCACAGTGGTGTTCATGGAATTCTTGCCAATAGTTTGTCAACTTCGCCAGAATAGATCCTCCACGTATATATTTTGATGGGTAGGCTCCTGAAGGTCCATCAAACCCCATTAGGTCCATCCAGAGTCGACTACCCTCCCCTGCGGCTGAACATCTAGCCTTCTGGTCGGTGAAAAGCTGCCCAAAAAAGACCCTTAGGTCCTAAGAGTCTTCATCGCCTGCCCAAAGAGTTCACCAGCTCGCAAAACTGTTGGGGTGCGGATCCATGGAGTTTGGAGTGATGGGCAGCTTCGGGCTTCGGGGTCCAAAAAGCTGCCCATCACTCTGCCTTGACCAAGCTCTGAACTCGCGTCAGGGGAGCCGGTCCCTGAAACCATCAGACGAAGAAGGCACCAATGATGAAGTCGATCCAGCCGAAAACCCATCCAGACCCATCCGCTTCCCTCCCTCGGCATCGACAAGCGCAAGGAGACATCCACAAAGGGATCTTGTGGAGGTTCTTCTGAAACCAAAATCTGGGATGCCATAAGGGATCCTGAAACCAAAATGATCCAGTTCTGGCACCTCATCAGTCATGAGTAGTCTCCTTGCGTCCTCCACTCTCTACCAGGCAATTTCAGATGGCGCAAACCCTTACAGTAGACCATTCAACCTCCTCAATCCTATCATCGTGATGACTTGTGCCACCACCTGGAAGTCCCAGGAGGAATTTATATGTAAATCCATTTTTCTCTACATATTTGCAGTGTTTGTAGGCAGCTCAGACCGAACTGCTCTGAAAACCTGCAGTAACTCCCTATGTCGTATCAATTTGCTTCGCCATCCTTACGCAAACCAGATTTTGGCTTGGACGAGCTCCGCAAGTCAGGCAAGAAAGTCGCGCCTGACTTAAGCCCGTTCCGCGCCCAGAATTGGCAGAAGTCAGCTTACCAGCAGAGGTTGAAGAACCCGAATTATAGACTATCCTATAGGTACCCCCTTCCTATAAGGTCACTTATGACCTCTGTAGGTACGCAGGGTCTATTCTCCTTGCAGCAAGGCTATAGGTTTTGAGAAGTGACTGCTAGGATCTTGCTGTCGCTTGCGCAAGAAGCGGCTTGCGTATACTCAGTGCCTGACAACCTCTCCTCCAAAGGTTCGTTTTGGCAATCGCATCGATGAAGCTTTGAACAGCTTCTGGCCGGAGAACTTTCGGGTAACCAGCTGTTCGTCTGCTTGGGGCCCAGCCTGCTCCCATGATGGGCTACTGGTCACTTCGGACGAGGGCGCTAACGCCATCCTTACGCAACTGCTTACGCGTAGCTTACGCGCAATATCCTTCTGTGCAAACACCAGGTGTCACAGCGACCCAAACTTTGTGACGTTCATTCCAAACAGGTTGGAGCATTTTGGCCAACACATTGCTTGATGTGGCAAGAGGCGGGCCAACCGCCTGGACAGGGATGGGTCTCCTTCCTCATATTCCTGTCTGAGATAAAAGCGGCTAGGTTTAACCTTTGATTTAACTAAAGGTTCATATTCCCCCAAATGCTTACGCAACCTTCCGGTGACCGCCGCGAACAACGCCGGTCCGGCGGGTCCCGCGCGCGAATGCGGTCACCTGGTGTGGCGAAAGCTGCAAGAGCTCAGAGCAGCGAGGCTCGCCTGCGGTGCCCATGAGGCATACCTGAGACCATGCGAGCGATTGGATAGACAGTAGGTGCTTCCGAAGCCTGCAATTCGGTCCGCGAGGTACAATGAATCACGTGCTTCCACACCAGAAACACCTTTCACATCCTTTCACATCTTTACGAATTACGCCCAATGCTGGGAAACAAAACCTCTTGGAAGCTGATATTCACTGAAGCAAGTCCCAGCTTTTGAGGGTCGGGGCAAACACACTCTACTGAAAAGCACCATGAGTCCATCAATCCCGAAAGACCACGGTCCTCATGCGCACCGATCCCTTGGAACGGGCGACCAGCCTCGCTTTATGGGGAGGATCCGGGAGCACTTTCCCAGCTTGGCCGGACTGGACGTGAAGCAGGTGGACTTTGGAGGGAAGCAAGGCCTGGCGGCCGACTGTGGGCCATGTCTGTGGCTACCAACCCCAAAACTGGAGGAAAATCCCACTCTTTCCCAAAGCCGGGGATCCAAGGGATCCCCAACCCAACCGTTGGAGAACGAAGCCGTTTCTGGAGCCTGTGGTGAAGCGGTGAAGGGTGTCGTCTGAAGCGATGGGGCGGAGTGATCGAAGCGTCACCCTGACTGGACCCAGACACTCCATGTATGCCATAGATGCCTACATTGGGGTGGTTTGAGGGGTCAATGTAGACATATATGGCATACATGGAGTGTCTGGGGGATGGTCTTTTCCATGTCTCTCGGTGCCAGGAGATGCCATGATCTGAATCTTCGTTTCCAGGATGCTAAGTAGGCAGCTGCAGGCAAATCTTTAGAGGAACAAATGCCAGGCATGCAAGCGACCACGCTGAGCGGTTCTTCCGGCCAAATGGACTCCTGCTTTGTCTCGGCCCATGTCGCAAACCTCCTGGGAGATGCGGCTCGCCGCGAGAAAGAGCGAGGGACGAGTACGTGTGAATATTCCTCAAATGGACCTTTCAGTTGGCTATAAATGAAAGGGTGGCGGGTGCAAATGAGCCGTGCGGGAATCAGCTGTTGCCTCAGGCAGCGCTGAAAATCACAAAACAAAGTCTCTATGCATCCCTTGTAAAGGAAAATAGACCTCTCTACCCAGGTTGGGAGGTTCGCCTATCGAAATAGTTATGTATATACACCCAAAATGGTAAAACAACAACAACAACAACAACAACAACAACAACAACAACAACAACAACAACAACAACAACAACAACATGACAGCAGAAAACACACAAACACGACCTGTCTCGAACTCGATTGTTTGACCGATTACGCCAGGTCAGGGGTCAATGATATGTTTGTATCATACAAGGAGCGGTTGTGTGCAGGATCTCCACATTCCTCGTGAACACATGTGTACGAGAATCTCTGTCATCCTCTCATGGCAAATGCTGGGAGCATCAGCGAAGAAGATCCGCAAGTCACCGACTCAGTTCAACAACCTTATAAGTGTTGATATTTCCTGACTGTCCAAGGGGCATATGAATGCATTGGAGCACCAAGTTGGCACCAAGACACATCTCGAAACATCATTTCTCACAGAGGCCTTCTCACCATCCCACAACCTATCCCAAACACCCCATGGGACTGCCATATATGCCTACCTTGACCCCCCTGGCACCACCCCTGGCCGTTTCTCGGTCAATATGCCAGTCCCGTGTCTGGGTCTAGTCTCAGTGCCTCACCCAGCGAATGTCGGGGTACCTTCTAATGTCAAGTTACGATTAATAAATCCTCCCCTAGTTAATCCGAAGACACAAACCCACCAGAAATTGCCCAGATTATATGATCTATATGCCTTACCCGTCCTTCCGTCCCGATCGTGGCGTCACCAAGAGTTTCTCCCGGTGGCACCGCACGAGGACATGTCGTGCATCCAGGCTACGCTTGGACCTCCTCCTGGTCGAAGCTGAGAGCAATCTCATAGAGTGTCGAGAAGAACGCATTCTTCCTCCGGGTGCAAATGTGTGCTGACTCCGATGACCTCCTTTCAGGCCACCGCTTGGGAGCTTACCACAAGGTTCCGCCCCAAACGGCATTTTTTTTGGTCGGCTGCTGTGGCACAAGAAGTTGATAGAACACACCAACACCCCAAAAATAGAACTTGCATGAAATTGCCAATCGTTTCAAAAACCAGCCACCTGATGGGTGTCCAATAACTAGCCACTACTTGGGATCTCCATGGGAGACCCGTTGGATGGCCATGACATGTGCTTCTTTTGTGGATTTGCTGATTCCAATGCGCTGGTTGAATGAGAGATTTTGAGCAGCGCATGCTACCAAAAGCGCTCAGTGAGCCAGAAAAGTAACAACCATATAGGCTTACTGGCTACCTACAAATCTGCCGTGTAAATGAACGACGCCAGGTGTGTGTGTGTGTAACCCTTGGAGTCATAGGGATCCGTCAGGATTAGTTTTCATTTTACATTATGGCAGGGGGGCAATGAACACTTTGGAAGGCATTGCCCAACGAAGACCCTTCCATCGTGTTGTGATATTCCTGAGGGACGCCTCGGGAACGTACCTGCTTTTTCCTTTTCCATTTTGAATGGCGAGAGGCTAAGCCAAGAACTTCACGACACGGTTTTGTTCAGAGCTTCGGTTCACTTTCTGCAGATGTGTTCGACTCGCTCGCCGCTTTCGACCTTACGCTTTTGGCCTCACTTCCTCTTCCAGACCCCCAGGCTCCGAGGGTCCTTACTGGTACTCTTAGGAATTGGAACCCTAGGCCGGCGTGTGGCACCGCATTCAGTTCAGTACACAATATCTCAAGTGTGTTTGGCTTCGTGCCAACCCGGGATGAGCCCGCAGAGTGCCTCCCGTGGACCCGTTGAACGGGTGTATGTCTCTCTCTCCCTTGCTTTGGAGAGGTAGGTGTCCAGAGCGGACAGCGGGTGGCCTCGGCCGTACGTCCGATGATTTTTGTCCCATCTTTGGAATTCCAAGTTGGCTCATGCCTTCACGTGACCGCAGCGGTCCAAGCTGGCTTAACGCCTCAACGTGGTCAGAGCGACCGAAGTACGTATGAGGTTCATTGGAACCTGTCGAGCACTTAGCCCCCCCTTCTCCCCCTTCCCTCCCCCGTTCTTTCTTTGCTTTCTAAAACTTTCCTGAATGCAATACTCAGGATCACCCCTCTCTTTCTTGGGTGTGTCCCTGGACGATTGTTCGTAGCTGGGAACACCTTCCTTTCCTCTCCCTTTCTCTCCCTCTCTCTTTCTTTCCTTCTCTCTTTCCTCTCTTCTCCCTCTTCCATGGGTGTCCCTGGATGCTTCGTCATAGCTGGGAGCCCTTCTTTTTGGTGTGTCCCTGGACGCATGTGTCGTAGCTGGGAGCACCTTTGTCTCCTTCTTTCTTTCCCTCTCCCCCTGCCCCCTCTTTCCTCGCGCGCGGCGTGTTTACAAACAAACTAGGCTTCTGACACAGCTTTCTCTAATGAGGTTTGGTTTGTCATCTGTTTGTCCCTGTTCATTTGGTTCCCCTTTCATCGGCCCCCACAGACGGTTCTTTTTTTCCTCTTTTCTTTCATGTCTTTCTGTCTTCATGTCTCTTCATCCTCATCCTTTCTTTCTCTTGCGCGCACTATCGTCCGGACCTTAGTTTGTACACATACACGCACGCGTACTTTACTTACAGCGAGGTTCAGGTGGCCCAGGTTCGTTACAATGAGGTTTGGCTCATCGGTTGTCCCTCTTCACTTGGTTCCTTTTCATCGGCAACCACCCACACCTTTGTCTGTCTTGTCCTTCTCACCTTCATCTGTCCCTTTTGCGTGCACATGTGCCTACCTCCTTTCCGGGCAGGATGGAGGTCACACATGCCTCCCTTCGGGGAGGCGTGTGTGTGTAACCCTTGGAGTCATAGGGATCCGTCAGGATTAGTTTTCATTTTACATTATGGCAGGGGGGCAATGAACACTTTGGAAGGCATTGCCCAACGAAGACCCTTCCATCGTGTTGTGATATTCCTGAGGGACGCCTCGGGAACGTACCTGCTTTTTCCTTTTCCATTTTTGAATGGCGAGAGGCTAAGCCAAGAACCTCACGACACGGTTTTGTTCAGAGCTTCGGTTCACTTTCTGCAGATGCGTTCGACTCGCTCGCCGCCTTCGACCTTACGCTTTTGGCCTCACTTCCTCTTCCAGACCCCCAGGCTCCGAGGGTCCTTACTGGTACTCTTAGGAATTGGAACCCTAGGCCGGCGTGTGGCACCGCATTCAGTTCAGTACACAATATCTCAAGTGTGTGTGTGTGTGTGTCAACCCCTGTTCCTAAGGGTTTTGGTTTCTTGCATACGGCTAAGTAACCACATGTCCACGTCTTGCAGCTAAGTATTCACAGGCCGGGCATTTACATGCATAGGCACACACACACAACCCCCCCTACCCCTGGGCCTCGCCCAGAGTACGCCTTAATGAAAAAATTCAATAAAGTTATTGAAAAAG